GGAAAGAAATCTACCACTGTCCCATTCACTAGCACTGAATAATGACAATTCCGGACACAGCCCATGATCCACTTACACCATCTAGCCCCAAACCCGAATTTGGTTAAAACTTTCCTCAAGAACTCCCAGTCCACCAAGTCATAAGCCTTTTCCAAGTCCAGCTTACACTAGTTCACATGTAGTATGAGCCATGGCCCTATATTCAGCTTCAGCACTGCTTCTTGCTATCACAGTGAAATCAATGTTCAGGTGCTTGGCTGCACTCTCTGACCAGAGAGTTGGGTGGGCCTGGATTTGGAAGTCGAAGATACCATCCAAAATAATCTTCTTCCTATGGCTAGCTATTAAAGGCAGGATTCAAACTACTAATGTCTTGCAATCCAAAGGAATGTATGTTGTCAACTATTGTTGTTTGTGTGAAATGGCAGCGGAGAATGTACACCACACATTACTACATTGCAGGCTATTTTATGCAGTTTGGTCTCATGTTTAACCTGTTTGATGTTACATGGGTAGGACCTCCAGATGTAGAGACATTAATTTTTCTTCTTGGAAAATGGAAGGTTTGTCAAAGAGGGGCAAGGTCCTTTGGAGCAAGGTGCCTAGGGCAATATGCTGGTCAGTTTGGAAAGAAAGGAATGACAGGTCCTTTCAGAATCAAGCCATGCTAGTCAAGAAACTGTGGTAAAGGTGAAAGAATATTGGTGGAAGTGGGCATCTATTAACAGTCTTTTGGGGGGTTTTAAAGTATAACCATTTCTAAATTCATTGGGGCAGCATCATATGGGATGAAAACTTTGCTTTGTTATCTGAAATGCTGTAATGCTGTTTTGCTTTGTTTGTTAGATCCAATGAGGTTGTATCGAGGGAACCTCTCCCTTGTCTTCTTTTCAGCATTGATGAAATTTCCCATCTTTCAATTAGGGATGGTCAGCCTCAAAGCCCAGTCCGGCTTAGAGCCAAGCCCAAGCTTGTATGAAGACCCCTGTATTAGGGGGCAAGCCCAACCCAGGCCCAACCTTGATCATCCCTAGCCCGAGCCATTCAGGATCTTTGAGGGTTGACTGGATATGGACTTAGCTGTTGGCATTTTTTGCACAAAGTGGCCACTCTCAGACTACAATTGAGATTCTCATGTTTGTTACCCAAAGTTTTAACATCACACAAACCAATGGCCCTGAATCTTGAGTTGTCTCATTCCTATTTTATTAACATTCCCATAATGACTCCATTTACATGCTACACTCAAGCACAATGGAAAAATAAAATGATATCATTTGATTTCTTAGTTCCCTATCAACTCCAACTGTTAAGTTATTAAAAAGCATTGGTACTCAATTTTCACAACTTAGAGATTCATGAGTTAGAAAGAACAACGAACAACAGTGCACAAGCCTACTGAGATTTTACATAATGGGTTACACTGCAAAATATTCCTATTTTCATGTCTGCCCACATGAATATATCAAGAATCACCATGGATTTTGTATGATAGGAATAGATATGAAAACTCTGCATTGGTTTAAAAATGATCAACTTCCCTTTACAATGTAGCCTGGTTTCAGGTTTGGTTTAGGTATGTCTGATCCAACCTTGATCACCCACCACAGAGCTGGCACAGCTAATATTTTCATTTACTTTGCTACCTTTGAAAAGTTCATGCAGCCATCAATTTGGTATGGCCAAAGTCGGCTAAATCATATTCCAGAACTAGTGATTTGCATTCTATGCTTTCACATGGTTTTTCTATCTTCCCTTTGTGATTGTTTATATCTACTATTTAAAAAACAAGAATCAGGTGGAACTCTTTTGTACATTGGTTATCAGGTACGATATCAAAGCAGGAAAAGATTGGCTGAACAGAGACCGCGAGTTCGAGGGCAATTTGTACGGCAGGCAGCGTTTGGAAACACAAATCAGGATACGAACTGCTAACCATCCCCCTGAACCTTGTGGTGTATGTGGAATTATTTACATGAGATTAGCACTAGCAGTGTATGTAGGGAGGATTTCTGCTGGGGGATGCGTGGGTGTGAGAACAATTTGTAGCTAAATTATAGTGAGTGCAAAAAGCAAGACCTTGATGTGAAAACTGAAGGTGAAAGACACATTGGACTGTATTGTATGGTTTGTGAAATTTGATAAACCAGCACAGCATGGACTTCCATCATCCTTGAAAAAGGAAAACTTATCATGTAGAATAATTGAAGTTTGTCGTTTCTATTTCATTCAAACCTTAGTGGTTCTGACTCATACTTCCCCCGTTCTTTTGATAGGACACTTACATGATTTTAGTCTTTTTGTTTTAAGATTTTTGGTAGCTGGTTTTTATAACAGACGATACTTAGTCATATATGGGTATGATAAATTTCTTGTCATTTGATTTGAATTTTACCGCCTCATTTGGACATACTGCATGCTAACAGATACAAGTGGATATGTCTGGTTGTGAAAGCTTACTCTTTGGAAGTCGAAAAATATATCAGATGGTCAAAGCCATTTGATCTGAAATGGTTGTTTCTATGAGCCGCGTGCAATCTGGCAAGCAGCTCATATAACCGTCCAAGAGGCGAAGCTTTTTTTAACTGATACAGTCATAGGGCCACACAGGCTGAGTTAATGACTCGATGGCTGGTCATCTGGTGCTTTGGACTCTAATATATTTGCTCTTTCAGGTTAAGGTAATTAAATTTAGTTATCAAAACGAAAAAATATATATATAAACTATTCAGGTCTATCACATCATTCATTCGTGAGCATCCAAAATAGGACATCAGGACAGATCACTTGCATTAAATGACTCGTGAACTGAACAGAAAAAGCAATTAATGAAAAGAAAGAAGAAGAAGAAGAAAACAGAGAAGGAAAAAAAAAAACAAAGATAAGATGATGCAAACCTTGCGAATAGCAGGCGGAGCTTATGCCAAACGAATAGAAAATAGAGAAACTGACCGTTGCGAGAGAATCAGAAATCTCTAAGAACTTTCAATCGATTGTCTCCGTAAAGAAGCAAACCGAGAAGAAGTGAAAGGAAGAAAGCAGCAGTTTTGTGTTTTGATTTTTGAAAAAGAAAAAGAATTGTAGCCGTGTCGTCAAGTTATCCTTAAAATCATTAGGTGGAGAGTGGGCAGTGCGCTTTTATACGGATCAAGTGTAGTGTTTATTTACTGTTTCTTTTTAAGGATCCGTCAACGAACGAGCGTATAAATCGAAAGTGCTATTTTGAGCCAGCCATCTGTTATCTTCCATGTGGCAGCTTAGTTGGCAATTTTCAGATAATAATTAACAGTACGGTTAGCCCTTTTTCATAAGGCTCCGTTTGGGAAGATGCAAATGTCGGTTCATTCTTTATACATATTCTGATTCAGCTCTGTAAGAACTAAGAAATCAGAAATAAGAATGCATTTATATACCGAAAGCGACAGCCTCTACAGATTTTCATCCAAAGTGAGCAAAATTTGCATGAATCAAAATGCACTCTACATATTTGTATCTGCACTATTCCCAAACAGAGCTTCAGCTTTTTTAAATATTCTGATTGAAAGCTTTTTTTTATTTTTAGGAAAAATTCCTGATAAATACACTGTACACCCGAACTTTAAAATGTGATAATCTAATATCCAAACTTTTATTTTGTGACAATTTAATTCACCGTTAAGTATCATGGGAAAAGACATAAATGCCCTTCCAGTCTTATCTAATTTTTTTTATCAACCTTCTTTTTTAATAAGTTATGCAATGCTGCACTGCTTCTTTGCCTGTAAACAACAGTCTGTACACTCCATCAAGTGGCAGAAATGACTTCAACTGCCCTAGCATTCTATTTCCCGTTCGTGACCGGAAGAAACCGTCAGAGGCTGTGTATTGAAGGACAGTCACCAACGTCGACAATAGCCCTGTAGAAGTGCAAAGTACACAGCCACTGTGCTTGCTCCTGTAGGCATATGGATTGTCGTTCAGCCATTGGCATTCAAATTCTCACGTCAATATGAGAACCAGATCTTCAATGTAACAGTGAGAGTCCCAGCAGGTGGAAGCCGAGACACCACCTGCCCGCCGTCGGTAATGAATGGGGTGATAAGATTTCCGAAAGACCTAGCAGGTGCCAATCCTGCAACAAAAGTTCTACTGACATTACGCCTGACAGAATGCAATCACCACTTAGCTGTAAAGGTGGGAGCGGTTGCAGAGGTGGTGGAAACAGTGACTGAGCTAGAAGGATCGGCGGCAGAGCGGGCACTAGCTGCACTGGAATTGCTATCTACGGTCTCAAAGGGAGCTGCGGAGCTGAGGACCCACACTTTGGCCGTTCCGGTGCTGGTAGAGATGGTAATGAAGATCAATTCTCCCCGTCGGTGTTGATAAGTGGAATATGATGCCAGAAAAAGATAATGATATTCTCCATCTATTTGGAAAAATATTGCCAGAACAAGAGAATTTGCCGCCGTTAGAATTTTTTTAAGGTAAGTTCTTGGTTTTGGGATTCTTTTTTTTCTAATTTTTTAATATGTTGGAAAACATTTTTCTGTGAACTTGACAAGATAAGGATGATGCAACAACAGGAACGGACAAGTACGGATACACAGAGAATTCTGAATTCCAGCCCTCTACTATTAGCCCTCTCCCCCTATAAACCACATCCTACCCGTGAATTTGTCATTAATTCACGGTCAGATGCATTTCCCTTATACTTTGGAGCTATAAAATTCTGATCTGGTCATTCTCCCCAGCAGGATTATATAGAACTTGATTTGTTTCTTGTCTGTACTTAATTGCCCATTCTCCAACCTGTTCTTGGTTTTTCAGGATGTACTCTGTCACATTTATCGGTTCTGTTGTGTTTTGGGCGTTCTGATGGGGATTGGGGGAGAAATGGGGGGTCAGGTATTGAGAAATGACTAGTTCTCTTGGTTGTCTTCTCCGTCACCGGCAACTGGCGTTCGTGCAATTCCAATCAACAGTCCAAGAGGGGAAAAATCTAAGAAAAAAAATCCAATGAAGATGCATCCTTTAAAGCTCAAAAGCAAAATAATTAACCAAAAGAAGAATTTCAACAACAATTCAACTCTGTAAAGCGGAAATTCAACACATATAGAATAATTTGTACCGTATTGAAGGTTTTAGAACAAATCCAAATTTATAATGCATCGGGATCAGCTAATTCAACCAGAACTTATCGGAGATTGGAAACAAGAGTAGATAGACAAGAACTGGCTCGATACCTCTTAGATGAACAAATTCGACTTCCAAGACCTAGCTATCGCTGAGATAATCCCATAATGGTGATGATGATAACAGAGGAAGATTGATTAGATGCATGAATCTGTAGAGATTTTCAGAGCTTGGAGACGAAGATATGTGCAGCAAAAATCTCTATTTTTCTTGAGTAGAACTAGAGATATGAGAGAGAGAGAGAAATAACTCTTCTTTCTTCACCTATAATCAAACAGAGGCAACGTCGCCGGTTTTGCCTGTTCGCGACCGGCAGCCATCTGTAGTGTGACCCCACAGAAATGCGAAATCGTCCAAGAAAGAGGAGGAAGGGGGCCCAGATTCAAAGTGCTTCAAATATGTGTAATTGAATTCTATGGTTCAAAATTCTTTTTTTTTTTTTTGAAAAACAGTCAAATTTGTCTTCTACGTTCTAAGATGAACTATTTCTCATCTGTGTTCTTTCCATTTGCTTCTTTATAAGTTTGCAGCATAGATAGTTTTTTTTTTTTGATAAATATAGCAGATCTGGACTTTGATAGAAGTTTGGGTTTTAAAAAATAAACTGTAAAGAGTTTGGGTTTGAGTTTTGTTTCATTTTCTTGAAAAAAAAGATGATAATTTTAACATTTTCAAAAGTTTTAAATCCCATATGAGGTCACCTGATATACATAATTGACGGTCTTAAATCGCATGAAAATTTCTCCTTTTTTTTATTCCAATCAATCATTAGCTTGTCGGACTAGTGATTAATATCTGTTAAAATTAAATCTCTAGGCCCGATACGCATGTTTTATTGCAAACAGAGCTTAAGCTTTTTTTAACATCTGCTCATCTAGCAGTTGTATGACTTGGGAAGACTTCATTTAAAAAGTGGTTCGTAGGCAAAAATCATCTGAAAGGGGCCACGTGGCACATTCAGATTATCTTTATTTGATGGATGGTCAGTATTCGTTTGATCATCTCTCCACGTGGATGAGATAAAAGGTCCACGTAAGTACTCTAGTTGACTCGTTGATAATATTTTTCCACATGTATTTTCTTTTTTTTTTATGAACAACTTTCACATGTTGTGGGCCATCCAGTTAATTTGTGAGTTTTCATTTTTGCTCCCAACTTTCACATGGTCCTCTCGGGGCTATGCTTCTAGTCTTGATCTCGCTGAATGTTGTAGGGAGATGGGTAGCAGCAGCTTGAGACACATTTTCGAGAAGAATGGACTCTGCTTGTATGTTCCAAGGGTTAATTGAAGATACAGTCAAGGACTCGGGTAGGACCGTAGGACTATTTAGAGTTCAATGGGCCCGGCAGACGCAACAATGAAAGAGGAGTGGTACTGACCCATTTGTCTTCCCAAAGATATGTAATTAGCTTTGACCATCCCCTATCCTTTTAATCAATTCAATCCTTTGGACAGATGATGTATTTCAGATTGGTCATTAGACTCCCATATTTCCCCATTAGAGTTTGGGCCGAGAGAATCTTGATTGCTCATTAGACTCCAGGCACTCTTTGTAAGGAGCGCATTATTCATCGGAGACGATAACCCTTCCTATCGGTAAGAAGTCCTGTGCCGGATGGTAGGCGTGTTCATGATTCGGTTAACTGAATTATAGTTTCTTTTTGTAAATCGAACTGTTAGTGTCGGTTTTTTCATTTTGTCAAATCGAAATCAAACTAGTACCATCAGTCAACCGGTTCATCGGTTTCGATTTTTTATCGATTCAGTTTTTTAGTTTTTTATATTTATAATATATATTATAGAATATAATATTATAAATAATAAATGATATATAATATATTATAAATATTTTAAAAATATATAATATATTTGTAAATAGATCATTATAAATATAATATAAAATACATAGAAAATATGTGACATATATTTAAAATATTTATAAAATATACATATAAATATATATACCAGTCGGTTCGGTTAACCGTCGGTTTTTTTATAGGGTTAACCGAAAACCAAATCGATCATTTGGTTTTTCAAAAATTCCAAACCGATCGATTCATTTAACCACATTTTGCAGTTCGATTTTCTCAATTCGATTTGTTTTTTCGGTTTTTCATGAACACCCTTACCGGATGGTAGTCAAATGAAAAAATCGTGTATTAAGGTCCCCCTTACCTATCCACTATATTTTGGTACCATAAGTGTAGCCACTCTTGGTTTTATCAAAAAAGGTGTTGACTCGAGGAACTTTTGGATACCGTTAAGGCGATTCAGAATTATTCTTTTCCGAGCACCTATATTTTCAAAAGTTTATCAATTCCAGTCTCTAGCCATTATAGGAATCTTCTTGGTGGCTTGGCTTGAAAAATATAAAGAAAGAGCAAAAGATACTTCTAATGGTATCTGCCAGCAGAACTCCCGACCGTTGTGGAGTACCGAACGAAGATTTCTGGAGGAGCTTTTTCCTTGAATTATTGCTGATGCTTCTCTATTGGAACGATCTGGTTCTGGGCTCCTTCGAGAATGAGAAGAATCACATCTAATAAGCTGAAAAATGAGAAAAACGAAGAACAGAAATTAATTGTTTGATTATTTTACTTGGAAATTTTTACAAGTTTGATAGTAAAAGTAAAAAAGAAAAGAGAGAGATATTTAATTATAAATAAATCTCAAGAAATAGACGTGTCTGCATTTATGATAAGTGACAAATTTTGATATGAGAAGATCAATAAAATGGTAGAACAAAATTCATGAAGCAATCCGGAACGAAGGAAAAACAAATGAAATTTTAGTTGAAAAGAATTGGCCATTGGCAGAGGATTTTCATGAATATATATATATATATATATATATATATATATATATTTAGTAGCGAAAAAAACAATCAGTCAAAGAAGTACACCCTACAAATTTCTGACGTGGAAAAATATATATTCAAGTCTGAATAGAGGCTAATGTTTTTTTTTTTAATCTTAAATGTGACTCAACATGCCTCACAATCCCTACGGCTTTGGGAAGAACAGAGATCAGGGATTTAAGCGCAGAAGAATGACACACAAGGTTCTCTTTACAAAGAAGCAAATAACATCAACCATGCAAATCTTCCCAACACATTGACAATCTTCGAAGTCAACCTTGGGCTTTGATGAGTGATCACAGCTCCATAGGCTAAGATAGTTCTTGCATGAACTCTCGAGCACCAACAATGCATTGCCAGTGGTGGCAGAGTTCGAGAGAGACCTCAGCACCGGTTTTCCAAGGCAAAGATCAGAACTCCAACTGTTAGATAATATGTCAACAAACATGTGTAAATGGGAAAGGGAAAGATGACAATATGTCGACAGGCGTATTTTAATAAAAACATGTACAAATTAATATGCAAAAGGGTAAAATAGGTTTTTGGAAAGATTTGATCATTGGTTTAACATTTTTCGTCATGATTATTGATGGAAGAGAGGTTTTTGTCAAATTTTTTAAAAATAGCGAGAAGTTTTTGCTAAAGTGAAACTATAGGAGAGGTTTTTATGATTGTCAAAAAGTTAAGGGGAGATTTTTGTGAATATATAATTATTATTTTATTAATACTTTATTATTATTATTATTATTATTTAATAATTAACATCTTAGTATTTATTATTAATTTATGAGTATTTTACTATTTTATTATTATATTTTATGAATAATATATTATTTTATGAATTTTTTATTATTTTGTTTATTATTTTTAAAATTAAAGTATTATTGAATAATTAATGTGTTAGTATTTTATTAAAATAAAAACAAGTAATATTACACATTTAACTCATGGGAGATGCTCCCAATGCGCGGCTAATGTGATGTGAGGTTGGTCCCGTGAGACGCGTTGTGTGGATTTCGCTCTGTTAGGAGCAAATCCTAATTCGTTTCTCAATCGTCGAAGCCCTAAAACATACTGTCGAACTCGAACTCTAAAGTCTAAAGTGGCTCACCAGTCACCACTCATCACTCACCTCTCCGGACTCCGGCTATTCCTCCGTCATCGCGGAACGGCCCGAACCCAGAAGCTGGCACCATTGTCTCGTCCATTCACTACACGATCTGCAACTCTGCATCGGCTCTCCGCCTCGCCTTCTGTCTCTCCAGTCCTCCTGTCCTCCATCGTTGTTGAACCCAGAATCCCAGATATTGAGACACATGCTCTAGCACGATTTCAGGTGACATCCGAGCTACTGGTTTTATTCGGTTTCCTTTTTTTTTTTGCTGTAGAATAAGATGAATTGTAGTCAAGTCGCGCCATATCTGGTTTTCCAAACACAGAGACTTCACTCCTTTTTTTTTCTGCAAAATAAGAGTAGTTTTTAGTTCCTTGACTGAACATAGACTTCAATTCATGATTCAATTAACAGAGATTTCTCCAAACACGGAGTTTTCTTCTTTCGCTCTCCCCTACTAGCCGTCTTGAATGCCGCTTTAGATATGACCCAGGTCTAAGCAATACTCCTTTGACTCCTGGCCAAGTCAATTTTCATTTACATGTGAACTATTTTAAATGCAAAAATTGCTAACACTGACTCACAGTTAGATTGAAAAAAACATCGAATTGCTAATATTCTATTAATTGAGTAAAACCATCAATACTCAATTGGGTAATGATCCTTATCAATACAAGGTGGGAAAACAGCATTGATGTGAACCATAAGATTAAACATATATTCAATCCAGAGGGTCTTCTGCTTGGTGATGGTGAATGATTTGCAGAAATCCAGCATTTTGTATAGGGAAATTCCGTACTTGAACTGATTAGGAAACCATAGTTTAAAAATTAAAAGAAGTAAGATGGGTCAGGTCTCAGGTCATAATCATAATTTCAGCATAGAAGACTTCAGTATTAGAAATATAGGATTATAGCAGTATAGGACACCTTAGGCTATGTTTGGGTTGGTAGATAAAAGAGAAACAGAAAAAATGAGGTAAAGTTCTTAACCCACAATTTTTTAATTATTTTCTATTATACCAAACACAGCAATAAGATTCAGCTGACTAAAATGACTTTCTGATTCTATCTCTTGTAAAAAAAAAAATCCAAGCTATAAGATTTTGTAAGTGTTCCCACTGGAAACCGTATTAGAAAAGAAGTTGCACGAAACCATATCAAAATGGTTGGTTCCCATGCCAAAATGGTTTCTCAGACCATATTGTAATGGTTTGGTCCAAGATCTTTTCAAAACCGCACCAGGCTGGATGGCGAACACCACCCCTAGCGCCAGCCCACCCATTAATGACCCACAACCCACTAGTGACCATATTAATTTCTTGTCAGTGGGCTGTGGGTAACAACCCACCCTGACCCTCACGCTTACCCACCCACCCACACTGGCCTGCTTAGTGCTTATCTAAAGCAAGCAATTACATGCAGCCACAAGACCAAAGCAGGTTGGGCTAACTCATTCACCCATGAATCATCAATTAAACAAAACAATATCCAATATGCTTCTATGCTGCCACGTGTCAGAATTTGTCAGTTCAACCCCTTTACTCAGAACACACCAATTTCAGCAAAAAACAAAATTACATCCCATGTCCATGCTGCCATGGTCACAATCAGGTTGGATAAACTCATTTGATCCAGGTTTCCTCTCCAATCCAAGCGGAAGCAAACCAAAATGGGCTTGTTTAGCAAAAAGGATGAACCTGCCCAAAATAGTTGTGGAATCAGATAACAACTATTGTTGTGGGTTTAGTTCAGGTTGCCAGATGGATTCTTCTCTCTCTTTCTTTTCCCTCCATGCCAGTCTTGTTTAATCACATCTCCAATCCAGTTCTTTATCCTTTAGATCTCTCATCTCATAGGTGGTGAGAATTTCTAGATTTTCAGCAAAAAACTTAATTCTTTTTTTCTTCCTATTTTATGTTCATATAAGAATGCTCCATTATAGTTGGGACCAGTAGTTGATTTGAGTTGATGTTTGTGTAAGAATGGGAAATCGGCTTACAACAAAACATGCCACATGAAGGATTTTTCAGCAAAAAACCTTTTTTTTTTCTTTATTCTTTGCATGAGTGAATTTTGTTGTATGTGATGTATGTCTAACAATAATCTCATAGTGACGAGCTTAACTATCCTAATCTCATGGTGAGGACTAGTAGAGGTGGCAATTAGGGAGGTTTGGGCAGGTTGGGCTTGGGAGCATCAACTCACCAACCCATCAGTGACCCATTTCATAACACTTCTAACAACAATCTTCTCCTAAATATTCCCTCTTACACAGACAGATTTGAAAAATCTTCTACCTTTAAATCTATGATGATAAAGTCAATGTAGTTTGATGTAGAAGCTATCCATTTCAACAATTACTAGAGGATTAAAAATGTAGATTAAGTATACAATGACGCTAGTTTCTTCCTACCTCTCAACATAAACATGTATATACTAATGTATTTTGGGATGCTGGTCAAATTTATGGGTAAGTAGCAAATCTAAAAGCCAAACTATTGTTGAAGGGGTTCATACGATTTTCGAATTAGTGTCCATCTGGGAGAGTTCTATGTTGTACTTACAGAGTGCTTTAAGGACTTCTCAAATGAATCATTTTTATCCCTATTTCTTTTTGTTTCTCTTCTTTATACATAGATCTTTATTTTGTTATGATACATGGTACTACAGGTGGATAATGTGGTATTATTTGTTAGTACCAATAAGTGCTCAGCAGTTATTCCGTGAATTTCCTAAAACAAATATATTATCAATAAATTGCCCTGATGTCAATTTGCTTCTTTTTTCCCTCTACTTAAAGTTTATGCCAACTTTTTTATTGGAAAACAAAATACACACACACAAACACAAAAAGAAAAAGATCTGAGAGGAGAAATGGATCATTTCTTTACACGCTTACACCCACTTAATTGTATTACAATTTGCATAACCTATCTTATAATTATATTACAAAGCCACACTGAAAATAAAAGCAAAGTTTCCACCATAATCAAGTAATCAACCTGAATGATATATCATGTCCTGCTGTTTAATTTCCTTTTTTGACTACCTTCCAGGCCACCACAACTACTCTTCTTTAAGACCACATTTATAGATGAATCATTTAACAATGTATATGGCACTAAATAGAAGGGAATGGTGAAACAGAATTCATTTAGCCAAATCCATAGTTGGATAAGGTTTAGACGATGATGATTTATAGATGAATCATCATGAATTGGGCATAGTTTTCAAGGCGCCAAGGTGAGGCTAGGCGACTGGGGGGCGCCTAGGCGATGGATTTTTTATGTTAAAAACATAGATCCTAGGGTAGTTCCCTAGGTACCATAACTATATTTCTTTAATAATTATTCATGATTTTCA